CATAATACTTTCTGAGTCTGTCTGAATTGCTGCATGAGAAAATTATTAGACCTTTCATTTTAGCAGAGGCACTGTATTCTATTATCTAGGATAATTATTCAATTTATGTTTTTCTTTTGTTCAAGTTGTAGATTTCACTTTGAGAGAGTGGATTAGGTGATCTTTGAAGTTAGTTTCAATCATTTCCTGTTCTACACTTTGTACTATATTATCTGTAATGTATTATTAGCTCCAGATTTTAAAGAGAAAAGCACTATATTTTCTAAAATCAAGTTTCCTCAAGTCATCAGTTGAATAGATATTGTGGTACACTAAGGTGAACTATATCTGTTAGGTTGATATCACATAATCGCTCATCTGATGAAGCTTTCTGTAAGCCTGATTTCTGTATTTTCAATTTCTCACATGCTTCTTGCTCCTCTTACTGTTAACAGAACACTATTCTGCTATTTGAAGGTATAATTCTTGAATTCTAAATGCTACTACAAATATTTCCTTCTGTCATACTTTGAGTTTAGCCTGACCAATAATGCTATAGAAGTTATGCTTACTGACTGATTATTCTTGGTTTTTTTAATCATTTCTACAGCTGAATACAGTAAGCAAGCTGATATAGGCTAAAAACTGTTAAATCAAGAGATTGTACACAGTAAGAGGTATGAGGTGGAAGACAAATTGGTATAACTTGATTCTCGATACAATATTCAAGGAACTTGATCTTAATATGTGAATTGTGCCCCTCAAAATGTAAAATATGGTTTCAAACACCTGTCCTTTGAGATGACTAACTTCTAGGTCCCATGTTTTCCCTTAATTAGAGAGCAAGGTAACATAGTCATTGGTCTCTATTTGGAGACTTTTTAAATGGAATATTTACAGCCAGTTCTGGTAAGTCTTCAAACAACTCTTCGTGAAAGTCCTTCATCTTAAAGATGATTATTAAATCAAGTATTGTCCTATTACTACAAATTGCTTCAGCTGCTATCACAAGCTCTCAATTTCCCAGTTGGTTGATAAATAGTCTGTCATTCTTCCCATAGTTATCCATAATATCACATACTTTCTCTGAAACAATTAATGTTATAACAAAGCTGATCTCATCATCGTTGTATATATTCCTGAGTAAGACTTTATATTCTTGAACAATTTGGCCATACTTTAAGCTAATTAATTTCAATATTTTTAATAAATTGTATGAGAATTTGTTTTGTATAATAAACCATGTTAGAGTTTACTACTTTAAAAAAGATAGATGTTGCTTCAAGATTAGTGCCCTGTAGTGATTGTGCATAGTCAAGTGGTGGATCATAACATCCTTAAATTTTTATCTTAGTATACTGTTTATAGAAACCTTGAAGCCATCCTTGACCTAAACTCGCAGCGAGAACTTGAGACTCATAAATGTATATTCAGATATCAACTATCTTGTTAATATTTGAAGGAAATCCCCATCATTCTAGCTGAAAGGCTTAATCAATTAATACTTTTCTTCTGCTGGTAGTATGGGTTGCTTGATCTTATTGCTATCTTTCATAGGTAATTATCCTTTCTGTTTATATGACAATATTTGGTAAGTAAATTGTAATTTTGTTCATATCTTTCTAAAACCTTGCGATAATTGAAGGTTGAATATAGAATATCAACTGCCTGAACTGCTGTCTTTTATTACTTTACTTCTCCATTCGCAATGATTTCCATTCCAATTCGTTCATGTTAACTCATGTCTAATAAGCTCCTAAATTCCTGTATGATAACAGTTAAAATCACTATTACTATAATAACCTTGTACAACTATGGCCTTACCAAAGTACCACTTTGTTACAGAAGCCATAAATTGAGAAATTTATCCCCAATATAAACATACTGATATGGGGTAAAATAAAATTGCCAAGTAGGTGAAGTTCTCCAAGTCAACTGTTTCTGTAGTGATAACAAACTTTTAGGCTGAAATCTATGATGGTAACACATATCATACTCCTAGAGCTGGCAGACTAACAAAGATAACTAGTACTAAAAAGAAGATCATCCTTGATATTATTGATGCTGAGTCTCATTTAACATTAAAGGAAATTATCCAAAATAGCTAATATTGCTTTTAGAAAAGATACTATCAATGAAATCTCAAGTCAAGTAAGTTTTAAGCTTGAAATACCCAGGAAAAACACTTTGTGGAGGAAAGGAATGAAGGAGAAGAGAAAGATGTTTAATGGGAAGAGGAATAATTAAACAAGAGCTTAGAATTGGGTAGTTTTTGTTGATGAGACAACAATTGAGTATAATTCAAATACAGTGGAAGAAAGGTCAGAGTGCGAGTAGATAAGGAGCTAGAGGAAAAAAACCCAAAGCCAAGCCTAAAGTTAGGAAGGACTAATATTAGGATCTATGCTGTGATCATATATGGAAGAGAAACTGAGTTAATTCTTATTAGAAGGAGGAGTAAGGAGGAAAGAACCAGTAAATCAGATAGGCTTAGTCTAAATGGACATCAGCATGCTACTGAAATTCACTAGCCATATCTTATTCCCTGCATAGAAGGTATAAATAAATAGATCACCAGGAACTATTTATATGGCAGCTGATAATGCATCATAGCATAATGGATTGGAAAACAAACAATTTCAGGGTGATTGTAGATATCAAAAACTGTCTTAGCCTCATAACTTCTCAGATCTAAATCCTATTAATAATGCCTATTCTCTTCTTAAAAAGGCTTTCAAAAAGCAATTCTCCAAGTTGGAAAGAAGACCTCATATTGCAGTCAAATTATTTCAGGCAGTCAAGGAGTAGTAGAAGCATATTCCCTAAGTGATAATTACTGAATTGATTAAAAGAATATTTGAGAGAGTTCAGGCTGTACAGGATGCAGATGAAATCTTTACAAATTGGTAAAATATTTCAACTATCTATTCTATAATCGAGTTGCTGTGATTGTTTCTAAATTTTCAAGTTTTCATTCTGTTGAGGTGGTGTGGTTTGACTTGGGGGTAGTGAAACTTGTTAGACATTAATGCGCTGTACAGTAATGTCGGGAAAGTCTACATACCTCTTACAGTAACAGCTCAACCACTGCAAATAATGATATTGACTACAATAAAGAAAAGATATAGGTACAATTTTAATATAGGTAATAGTTGAAATAGAAAAAAACAGTTTCCCAATGCTACCATTTTGTATAGCTTCCATCTCCATCTAATATAACCTGAAGTCTCTC